ATGATTATGATTACGCCGAAAGACCTGCTGTAGAGAAATGCTGCAATCGGAATTAAAAATAGCATTTTCTGTCCTCCCACACACAACACTTGAGTGCTCTGAACGTCTTTTCTAAGTGCACACTTTCTGCCTGGCTGCATAAAAGAAGCTGTCAGTTCATTTCCATAACGAAGTCATCTCCATTCCCGAGAGAATTCCATTGTTTTAGCAATAGAATTTTTGTAAAAGGCCTCTTATTTTGCCTGAAAAAGGTAACAGAAATGAACTTTCCAGAGCTCATTCGACAAAACAATTAAGGAGAGAGAGAGATTTTCTCCTTTTTTCAATATGGGAGGTGTTCAAGCCTAGAATCCCCCAAGCTTTGATATGAAGATAAACTCTAAACGTGGCAGATAGAACCCCATCAGACATGCTTGTGATACAAACTGGGGAAATGCCTGAGCTTGAAAACCTATTCTAGAGACACCCGGTAGTAAACAGATGTTGCTTGATTGAAAGGGTTTTAAATACTTTCATTTGTTTTATTTTTAGGAATTTTTTTTTTTTGAGACGGGGTCTTATGAAGCTTGGGCTAGCCTCAAACTTGGTGTGTAGCCGAGGATGGCCCTGAACTTGTGATCCTCTTGCCTATGCTTCCAAAGTGCTGGGATTGAGGAGTATACTACCCTGTGCTGTCTTAAATACTCATTTTTAAGGGGAAGTGGGAAATCTAAAGAACTCTGATTGTGTAAAGAAATTCCTTGGAGTTTTTAATGAAAACGGGATTATTGGGTGTTTTAGTTGAGTTCCTTGACTCAGAAGACAAACTGCAGATGCATCTTCCCAGGGTCCTTAACTCAGAAAATGCTAGTTAAAATTTCTCTTTATTTAAGCTTAAAATGCTGTCGCAAGTAGAACACAGGCATTTCACCCGCAGGGTGGCTTGTAACAGGCTGAAACTAGTACAGGAACATGTGCCCACATTCAAGGTCCCTCCCCCATATGCCCCTGCTCGCCCCACAATGGATCTAAATACGGTCCAAATATGGTGTCAGCTTTTCTCAAGTCCACATTCATAGAAAGAAGGGATAATTGCACCGCTTAGTACTCCCTGGCACCAAGGAACCCACATCAAAGTCTGCCTGCCTTTGGTGTTTCAACAGGTAATCCCTAGGCTTAGAGCCAAGTAGCATTACTGTTACTTTACTTACAGCTAAGACCATTGAAATCTCAGGTTTTTAAGCTAGAGTCATTTTCTTAAGCGTCCTCCAAAAGGAGAGAAGTTTTGAATACTGCCTTTGTCTTGTGATATTTTTTGTCCCCATTGCATCAGAAAGTTGTAATGATTGAAGCAAGGAAACATTTACCTAGAGTGGCTGGAAAAAAAAAAAAGAGGTTAAAGGGCCGGCGGGTACAGCTCAGTTAGTTGGTAGAGTGCTTGCCTAGCATGCACCAAGCCCTGGGGTTGATTTTTCAGAACTCCATAAAACCAGGTGTGGTGGCTCATGCCTCTAATCCTAGTCCTGGGAGGTGAAGACTGGAGGATCAAGGGTTCAAGGTCACCCCGGGCTACATCGCAAGTTCTAGGCTTGCTTGTGCTACCTGAGACCCAAAATTTTAAAACTAAACAAGAGTAACAATAACAACAGCAAAATCCCACTGACTTTTTGAAGCCAGCATTAAAACCTTCTTTCAGGAAGGTGTGTGGTGACTCATGGTGGCCGGGCAGGGGATGTGTAACCCAGGAAACATGTGATCACAGGGTGTTCTCCAGACCTTCCCGATCAAGATTCCACTGTCTCCTAAGCCATAGTACCACCTTCTGTGGAGCTTTAGCGATTCCCATGAGACCAGGGAGCCAAGCAAATTAAGCCAGGACAAAATTGTCATCAAGGATCACAAGCTGTCTTGTCCTTAAACAATTTCCGAGAGCATGGTCTGAGAGCCATTAAGCACCACTTGGGTATCCTGTACATGTGCATTGAACTTATATCTTATGTTAATTGTATTCCTGATACGAAGACATGTTTTTCTCTAGCCGTGCCATTATATTTCATAGCAAACTTTGTGCCTCACCAATAAGAAGCCACAGCCCACATACATGCATACGCATGTACACACACACACACACACACACACACACACACACACACCTCTGCAGAGCCTGAATCACATGGAAAAAGCCTTCAATACAATCTGCTAATAGGACAACGTGGCATAAACCAACATAAATGAAAATATTTTAAAATCTTTGATCAGAGGAATATCTCCAATTCTGTGTTTTTTGAACAGATAGTAATTTTAGCTTTGAGACCCTGAACACTAACCAGTTAACATCCACAGAAAATACCCCAGGTGTATCCAAATCATCCACGTGTTGCCAGTCTGGAAGAAGCTTCATGTTAGATAATTCATACATGATATTAGTTGTTGATTAAATGGGGATTATGTGGTCCAATGGATAAACCTCAAGATTCCTTGAGCATCCACTTCAACCAACCCACATTTGACCTCCCTCCAGTTCTCCTTGAGAACTAACTGAATGCTCCTTTTAAGTGGCATTCCCAAGGGAAGAGGAATGTTTGGCCCATCATTCCTGTTGGTGAAGTCTTAGCCCTACCTCTCTGAGCTGAGGTACTCACCAAAGATGGCTCCCAGCACTATCCTGGCCAGTAACCCTGGCTGCTGCTTCTTCCTCAGAAGCCATCTTGAATCCCAGGTTGGAAGGAGAGGATCTTACAGAACATTTCATTGATGGACTGAACAGTTTTCTCATGGCTTAAGTCATGATTTTTCTCCAAGTTACCCAGAGTGAGTCCTCACCTTTGTTACCAGGCAGGAGGGAGACTTGGGGGCAAAGCAAAGTAAAGCACCACATGTTCAGCTGGTCAGTCCACAGGAACTTCTGTTTTGTCATTTATTTATTTGTTTGTTTATTTGAAGACCGTCTTACTGTATATCTCTGGCTGGCTTCGTACTTGCTATGTAGACCAGGCTGGCCTAGACCTCACGGTAATCCTCCTGCTTCAACTTTGTGAGTATTCGCATTACAGGTGTGTGTCACCATGCCCTGTTAGTCAACAAGAATTTATCAAGGGGTTTCCATTGACAAAAGCACTTGGGGGAGCTGGAGAGAGGGCTCAGCTGGAGAGAGTGTATACTGTTCTTGCAGAGTACTGAAGTTCCATTCACAGCACCCATATTAGGTGGCTCATAACCACTGGAACTAACTCTAGTCCCAACAGATCCAGTGCCCTCTTCTGGCCTTCAAGGGCATTGCACACATGTGGTGCATTTACATACATGCAGGCAAAATGCTCATACATATAAAATTTTAAAAAATTAAAAAGTTTTCTAAAATAATTCAAAAGTCCTTAAATATCAGATAAAGAGTGTAGGCTGGCTTTGATAGCTCACGGCTGGAAGGCTGAGGCAGCAGAACGGAGTCTGAGGCCAGCCTAGGCTGCGGTGTGAGACCCTGCCTTAAATTTCCTTCCCCCAAATAAAGGAACTTTGGAAGATTTCCAGTATGCTGTAGGGACCGATAAAGGTGTGACACATGATAGAGCTGCATTGCCTGATGGCCACTTAGGGCGCTTGAAACCAACCTGGATAACTCAGGTAGTTTGGCTAGAGAATATTAAGGCAAGTGCAGCAATTTGCAGACTGCTCTGAGAGGTGGAGTCTGGACTAACCTGGTGGCTGTGGGGATAGAGTGGGTGCAGAGTTTGTAGGAATTGACAGCTGACAGGCCGTGGGAGAAAGAGAAGACAACACCACCATTTGCATGAATTGAAGAGTTAATAGGAACTGGTTTGGGGCAGGGGAGATAGGAAGTTTTGACACACGAATAATTGATTGGCACTGCACCTGTCCAACAGCATGAGGAGATGCCAGGGTCCAGGACATAGATTTGAGAACTGCACGCAGTAAAAGGAAGACATTAGGAAAGAGGACGGAGCTTACAGCTAGGCGGGAAGGAGACATGTGCCTCAGGGTAAGAAGGAATTATAGAGAGGGAAATAAAACTAGAAAACAGGAGTGTCTGAATATTAGAAACTGGCCATGGTGGCATACACTCTCAACACTCAGGATACTGAGACAGGAAGATTGCTGGGAGCTTAAGGCCAGGCTAGGCTACACAACAAGGACCAGACCAATAGTGCCACATAGCAAGCTGTGCCTCACAAAAACAAAACTGGGGGTGGGGGGGTGGGAATGATGTAGAAAAAAAAACTAATTCAAAAATCAAATTCCAATATGATTCTGTCTCAGGGACATCAAACAGAGTAGCCTATTTGGGTTGAAATAGACAAATAAGAAAAACTCAAAGTGACTCACTGGGCATGGTGGCACACTCCTGTATTCCAGGATTTGGGAGGTAGAGGCAGGAAGATCAGGAGTTCAAGGCCAGCTTTGGCCATGTAGTGAGGTCTAGGCCAGCCTCGGCTGCTTGAGACTTTATCTCAAAAAGGAAAAAAGAAAAAAAAAAAAACCTCAGTGACTCAAACAAAAGTACAATTCGTTGTAACATAGGTATTAATTTCTGCTACTACAGACAATTTGCTAAAAGAAAAGTGTCTCAAAATGATACCTATTTATCACCCACCTGTCTCTGTCTGTTACACACCCAGGCATAGCTTTCTTTGCTTTCTGTTACCAGTTTCATAAGGCTGAAATCACAATACTGCCTGGGCTACTTTACCGTCTGAAATTCAAGGTTCTTTCTGAGGCTCATGTGGCTATATGTGGAGTTTACTTTCTTACGGTTGTCAAACCCAGGCCCCTGTTTGGTCGCTGGCTGTGAGCTGAATGCCATTATCAACTTCTGGAACTAAGGAGAACTTAGTTCCTTACCACAACTTCCCAACATGTCTTTTCACAGGTTGAATCCCGCACCTCTTAGGAGTCCTGTCCCTTTTAAAGGCTCACCTCATCAGATCAGGCCCATCATGTGTAATCCCCCTAGTTTGAGATCAGTGGATTTGGGACTAAAGTGTATCTGTAAATTACTTCCACAGCATCCACATCCAAAGAAGTGGTCCAGAAATGACTGACAGGAGATGTATATGTGCATAGGACCAGGCAGTTGTGGGGACCAGCACAAAACCATGCGCATGGCACATAATTGCTAAATGCAAGGGGCTTCACTGTCACCAGGACCCTGGCTTTCTGCTACCGAGATACTTCGCTATCCAGAGCCTTTCTTTCACAAGATGGTAATGTGTCTAGGGACGTAGTCCCTGTCTCACTAGAGCAAGTACTTCCTTCCTGTAAGTTTCTGATGGCCTAAGACAGACCTCTGATTAGGTTTCTTTGGGGGACCATTCCAAACTCCTGTCACTCTGGCTAGAGGGATACTATGTTCTTTTGATTGGCCAGACCCTGATCCTCTGTGTGATGGACTGATCGCCACAGCACAAATAACAAAATGGATGAAAGATCATTCTGGAATGATGCTCTCAAGGGATAATAAAAAAATGCTAGCCTATCAAACAAGAAAAATCAAAACTGCGGGAGTCTTGGTGAGCTATAATCTAGGTATCAGGGAAGAAAACTCAGGCAAGGTCACTGCATTTGGAGGGAAGGGCACAGTCCTGACATCTGAAAGAGAAACAGTTTGCAAAAATAGTGCTGGATATCAGACTCTAAGTCTTTAAGATGTAGGTGTTGAAATACTGACATGGAACTTACAGGACATTTTAATCTGTTCCTTGGTAAATGGGATAAAGGTGCCAGCTGTTTGGAACCTTCCAGATCATGTGGAAGTCTTTCAGGGTACATAAATACCAGATTGCTTATAGGCTGAGAGTAAGTTTATAGTTGAAAGGAAAAGGATTTTGGAAGGGGAGAGAGAAGGCAGAGTTTGTCTCAGCAAGACCTCGTGCTAATAAGAAAATTCATAAGGTCTCAAGTAGAGGAGAGTCACGAAAAGTTTTCTCAGGATTTATGGATATACTTAGCAGCATGTGGGGGTTCACTTTGTATGTTTTGATCATTTGTTGCCTCTTTGGGCAACATCAGTATCATTTTTTCCGAGGTAGCCATCATAGAGTGAATAAATAGATCCCAAACATTCCCCCAATTCTATCTGACTGTGTCCTTGACAGGAAAATCTTTAGAGGGCAGTGCGGTTCCCTGGACCAATAGCATCAGTTTTGCCTGGGAATTCACTGGGAATCCAAGTTCTCTGCCCCAACCCCAGACTTTCCCAATCAGCAATTCTGGGAACGGCTCCCAGTCATCCAGTTTAACAAGATCTCAAGCTGAGTCTGGTGCGGGTTCCAGTTTAAGATCCATCCCCTCAGAGGCTCCCATCTCCCCTTCATATAGGATGAGGATTTCAGTAACAGACACTTTGGAAAAGCTGTGAGAAGCATGGACGCAGGCTGGCAAGGAGGTAGAGGGAGAGCGTAAACATTGAGAGGCAATGGTAGCCGTTCAGAGGCCACTAGTGACTAGAGACAGGATGGATTCACAGGGCAGAAAAGAGAAGGCCAAGTGTGACTGCTCTGTTATGTTGGAGGCTTTCATTTGGATGGGTGGTGTAGGAGAACCAAGTCCTTGCTCAACAGAGAAAAGGAAGGGGCAAGACAGCAGGGAGACAGTCCATTCGGTAAAGTACTTGCCTTGCAAACATCAGGACCCAAGTTTAATCTCCAGGATCTTTTTTTTTTTAAAGAAACCAAGTATGTGAGCTTATAATCCCAGCACTGGGGAGACAGGGATAGGTAGATTTCTGGAGCTTGATGGCCAGCTAACCTAGTTTACATGGCAAGTCCCAGGCCAATGAGACTTTCAGAAAAATTGAGTTGGATGACAGCTGAGGAATGACTCTCAAGATTGTCCTCTAGCAGGGAGATGGGGGTGGGGGAGCAGAAAGGGAGGGAAAGACAAGAGAGAGATGGGGGGATGTTGGGGGGGCACAGAGAGAGGCAGAGAGAGGTGAGAAGGGCTTAAGTTAACAGCTGCTGCTGCGGAGTGAATGCTTTGCAGTAAGGGTTAAGTTCGAGAACAGGCTTCTTCTGTGGATCATTTCATGTCCACTCAGGCTCCTCCACTAGACACTATTAGCAGTTTGCAAAAGAAGGCCGTGGCAAGGTCTCTTTCATCAAGAAGCTTATAAAGTCTTTGAGCCTTCAAGACTTCAATAAATCCAGTGGAGGATGAAAAGAAGATATAAGTGCTGATTTGAAAATGACCTTGGGTCAAAATGTGAGGTAGAGAATGTAAGTGCTTTGGGCAGTCCAGGGAAAGACAGGCTGGCATGGTTTCCTTTTGTCCTGTGGACAGAGGATGAGACTGTCAGCCTGGCGTATGTCCCTGAGCCTTAGGTAACACAGTGGACAACTTGGCTGCTCAGTCTTTTCTTTTGTATTCTTGCTTTCTGGGTTTGCTAAGGTTTGTCAAAACTGTCAGGTTGAAGTATAGTCTGAGACTTGCAGGTAGAATATTATTAATATTTTTGTTTGTATGAGAAACTAGTATGGGGGAAATCACATTTTATCCTGGCTGTCTTAAATGGGAATAGACTCGGAGTTCAGCCTGCCATTTCTGCTTCAGACAGGATTTCAGCCTGCCTCCATTCCTAAGGAGAACATGAATGAGCCCACCTGAGGATATCTTCCCTTTAGAGAAAGCAAAATGCTGATTTTCTATTTATTATTTTTATTTTATTTGTATGAGTGTATTGCCTGCATGTATCAAGTGCACCTGTATCATGCAAAAAGAGTATCAGATCCCCTAGAACTGGAGTTACTGATGGAGTTAGCTGCTATGTGGGTGCTGGGAACTGAACCTGGGTCTTCTGCAAGTGCGGCCAGTGCTCTTAACCTCTGAGCCACCTCTCTAGCCCCTGATTTTTTTCCTTAATGGAAGAACTAAATTGAGCAGGTCTGGGATGGCAGACAATAAGAAATCACTGCAGATGAACAACACTTCCCACTGCGATTGATTTCTTCACATCCTCCTCGTTGGGCAGATAAACGGGGTCACAATTTAAGAATCACTGTTAAAGTGGGCATACACATTGTTTGAGTACAGGAGAGAAATGTTAGAAATATCTCTCAGCCAAGGGGAAGCCAGAAATTTGGAATCTAAAGCAGGACTAGGATTCTTTTCCAGAAGTTGATGTCTGGTTTGAGCCCTTTTTTTGTTGTTTTTGTTTTTATTTTGGTTTTTAATATTTTATTTATTTTTATTTTATGTGTATGAGTGTATTGCCTGCATATATATATATATATATATATATATGCCCCTGTGCCATACAATGCCTGTGGAGGTCAGAAGAGGGCTTTGGATCCCCTGGAATTGGAGTTATGGATGGTTATCAGCCACTAGGTGGGTGCTGAGAACTGAACCCAGGTCCTCTGCAAGAGCAGCCAGTTCTCTTAACCTCTGAACCATCTCTGCAGTCACCTGAGACCAGGTCTCACTTTATAACCCCAGGTTGGCCTTGAGCTCATGATCTTCCCACAGCTCAGCCTCGGTGATGAGACTTCAGGTGTGAGCCATCATGCCTGGCTTTAGACCCACTTTGAATAGACTTTCTATAGCTATAGCCTGCACTGTAAGACAGCTTCGTTTCACTGCTATGATGTGGTGACTTGAGGTACATTAGGGAGCAAGGACGTCCTTTCCCATCGAACTACGTGTGATACCTACATTGAACAGTGTCTCCATGACAAAATCGCCAGTGCTTGCTGTTCCTGTCCTGAAGCACAGCAGAGGGAAGAATCACCTCTTCTCTGAAGGCGGTGAAAACAGTTCTGTTGTTTATTCCTTGATCGAGGCAGCGCCACTGAAACGACCTCCCCGAGACAGAAAAACAGAAATTAATTGTTCACTTCTAGATCCAGCGCACTGGTGCATAGTCTCTCTCCTGTACCTGGGAACCTGATTCCTGTTCTCATTTCTAAGCCAATGCCTTGCCACTGAGCTACACTTCCAGCCTTGCCAAGATCTCTCTCTATCTCTATCTCTATCTCTATCTCTCGCTCACTCACTCGCTCGCTCTCCGGGGCCCCACATTCCAAAATGCAGTGGTCTGGCAACTAAGGTTGTAGATCACAACCTGCTTGTTCCTTCATTATGCATATCTATCTGGGTTTCAAATTGTACGTGTGCATTAAAAACTCAAAGCTGGGTCTGGAGAGATGGCTCAGCAGTTAAGAGCACTGCCTGCTCTTGCAGAGGAGCCAGGATCGAGTCCCAGCACCCACATGACGGCTAACACTTGTCCATAACTCCAGCTTCAGGGGCTCCAAGGGCATTGCACAACACAGGTGCACTTACATACATGCAGGCAATACACTCATATACATAAAAGATAATTTTTTTTAAAAAAGGCATGCCAGGTGTGGTGGCCCACGCCTTTAATCCCAGCACTCGGGAGGCAGAGGCAGGTGGATCCTCTGTGAGTTTGAGGTCAGCCTGATCTACAGAGTGAGTTCCAGGCAGCTGGAGCTACAGGGAGACCCTGTCTCAAAAAGACCAAAAAAAAAAAAAAATGCAAAGCTACAATCCTCTAATGTGCATATGTTCATTCTACTTGGTGCCAAGAGGGTCTTTGCCTCCGTCCTTGTTGCTTTGAACCCCACTGTGGCGCAGTAGCACTAAGTAATCTGTCCACTGAATGAGTTCGTTAATGAGAAAGCACTTGCTAAGCTGGAGTCACTACAGCAGTGATGATTAATTACACCAGGACAGACATCCCCTTCCTGCCTTCTGCACTAATTTAGTCTCTCCCTTTTTAAAAATTTATTTTGAGTCATGCTACTCAGTGTTTTGCCAATTCCAAATCTAAGATTTGACATTATTCATTCACTCTTGCCCCCCCCCTTTGAGATAAGGGGCCACTTATTTTCTCTTGGAAATATTCCTTTTCACACCTACAATGATAATACTGCAACTCCTACCTGTGTTCAACGTGTGCGCATGACTTTGAAAGGAAAAACCTGACCGGTGCTCACTCATGGACGGTTTTAGAAGGGAAGCAGACTCTTAGCATAGCACTTAAATTCTGCTGCTTCTCTTACTCTCCAAACCACTAGGATAAGTTCATTCTTATCCATTCAGTCTTGTTCCTAAAAGGTATACAAATCAAAATAGCTTTAGAATATTGGCCTGGAAGCATCTGTCTCTGTGTCTGCCATAGAGAGGGGGAAATCAAGAAATCCTGACATAGACAGTATTCACAATTAGGCTGTGAACAATTCTTTACATTAAAAGCCACCAATCAGCCTGATCCACTCCTTTTCCAAGGAGCTGCTTTGTTGGGTGACCTTTGTGTTATGTGGGTGTTTTACTTAGTAGGAAGAAATGACAGAGGGGCAAGTGGAAAATTTCACAGCCCTGCAGACATTCAGCATACCAAATCCTGCAAACCTACAGTCCAAGGGAGCCCTGCGCTGTGGACCAAATAGCACACTCCTGCAAGCCTTTGAAGCCTGCTATGCACCTTTTCTCCCTTTAACTTACGCCCCACACCTTCCTTTTCTTTCTCCTAGAGATTCAGGGCATCTCTGATTCTGTTCCTCCTCTCTCCTGCACCCCAGCACACAGGGCCATGCAGATATTTGAGTGCCCTGGAGAGAGCTGATGGTTGGTACCCAGCCAAAGCTAGCTTTTATATCCTTCCTCATAGCTCAGTAGCAGGTTGTGACCAATAATGATACCTCCTGTTGACATAGTGCCTGTCTTCTGGGGAACTTGGAGTGCTTCACAAGAGTGCTTATTGATTCTTCAATAGCATGGGGAGGTACGAAAATGGCCAAAGATTGTAGTCCTTGCTTCCTTTTGCAGATAATAAAGTCAAGTGGCTTATTTTGGGATTTTGCTTGTTTTTATGGTGCTGGGAATTAAACCTAGGGCTTCAGGGGTACTAAGCAATAACTGTACCACTGAGCTGTACCCCTGGTATTTAATAGCTGCTTCTCCCCCTCCTCCTCCCCCTCCTTCTCCTTCCCCTCCTCTTCCTTCTTCCCTTCCTCCTTTCTCCTCCTCCTCCTCTTCTTCCTCCTTCCCCTCCTCCTCTTCCTTCTTCCCTTCCTCCTTCCCCTGCCTCCTCCTCCTCTTCTTCCTCCTTCCCCCTCCTCCTCTTCTTCTTCCTCCCCCCCTCCTCTTCCTCTTCCTTCTCCCCCTCCTTCACCTTCCCCTCTTCCTCCTCACCCTCCTCCTTTCTTCCTCTTCCTCCTCCCCTTCCTTCTCCTCCTCCTCCTCCTTCCCCTCTCTTACTGGAGTCTCATGTAACCCAGGATGGCTTTGAACTCCTGATCCTTCTGCCTCCACTTTCTCAAGTGTTGGGATTACAAGCATTCACCACCACATTCTAGCCCCTAGTGGCTTTTGAGCCTGTCTTGCAAGTTTGTATCTCAACTGAGATTGGGTTTGAAGTCTCCTAGTATTGGCTTCAACTTCATGGGGAAGGGAAAGGGAGGAGAAAAGGCTGGTTGTGCCACATTGGATCCCTAGAAAAAGAGCAAAACCAAAAATACTAAATTTATTTATTTATTTATTTATTTATTTATTTATGCGTGTGCCACCACACCCAGCCTATTTATTTATTTTTGTCTTTTTGAAACAGGGTCTCCCTGTAGCCCCAGCTGTCCTGGAACTCACTATGTAGACCAGGCTGGCCTTGAACTCACAGAGATCCACCTGCCTCTGCCTCCCGAGTGCTAGGATTAAAGGCCTGCGCCACCACACCCAGCTAAATTTATTTTTTTTAAGGAACAGATACTGGAAAATGTTCTTTGGTGAATTATTAGTTCATCTGGTTGCCCAGGTAACTCCTTTGTTTGGAGAAGAAGTGACTTGATGATGTACTTACCTGTTTCTTTCTTTCTGCTCTCTTCCCATGCCAGGCATTTCTCAACTCTCTGTGAAAGGAAGAAGGAAAACATCAGAGCCCAGTCACCTCAGCTACTGAGGGAAGTTTCCATGGTGAAGTCCAAGCAAGGCTACCTGGGAACAGTGCACAGTGAATGTTGTAAGTGAACAACCATGAGTCAGAGCCACAAGGCAGTGGCTGGCCTTGTAAGGATGTGAGCAACCACAGCGATGAGGGGCTGTTAGTGGGAGTCCCTGGTATCCATCCCCTCATGGCTCGTGGCTCCCCTGTGAGCTTGCCTTTCTCTCTGCTTCTTTGGACTACTGAAGATGGTCTACTTGACAGAACTCAGTGATTCTTTATCATAATGTTCTTCCTACTGGCATCACAAGGTATCAAATTTAGAGGGGGCTATCGTGGTTCTTTTAGGTTGATGAATAGGCTGAGGATTGACAATCTGGCTTTCTGCCTAATATTCTTATTTACATCAGGCTTTTGTAAACAGAATATTTTTTTCTGACTTTCAGAATCTCAAAAGTCATGCAAGGGCCGGGCGTGGTGGTGTATGCCTTTAGTTCCAGCACTCAGGAGGCAGAGGCAAGCAGATTTCTGTGAGATCAAGGTCTACATAGTGAGTTCCAGGACAGCTGGGGCAAAAGGGAAACCCTTAAGTCATGCAAGGAGGAGCCGCATTTGCAGTGCTTCTCTGATTCGGAATTACCTGATGTACTGGCTTTTGTTGGGGTAATTGTTTACAGTGCAGACATTAGTAAATAGTGTTTCGTGTCAGCTGAAAGTTCTTGAGATGTTCATTTGAGGGTCAGATGCTAGATGAGGTGACCTGCTCTGAGAGCTAAAGTTCATTTGCTGTGAAACTTGTGAACTTGCCCAGCTCTGCTACTTGATGGTGTTTTTTTTTACACACACACACACACACACACACACACACACACACACGCACACACACCAAAACAAAGTTTAGGAACGAATACAGCTACAGGAAACCCCTAGATGGCCAGTGAACACCTCTGAGAAAAAGAGCAAGAATGCCTTCAAATTTTAGAATGTGAGGGGAAGAGCCAACTTTAATTAGAATTTGTGTGTATTTTACATGTGTACACACACTTTATAATATATGTGCATTTTTATACATCGTATGTGTATACAGACATTTTGAACTTTTGAAACATTTCTGTTTATTTACTTTGTGGGGGATGTGTAAGTGGCATGGTATGTCATACATGCGAAAGTCAGAGGACAACTTGTGGGAGTTGGTTCTCTCGCTCCATGTGGGTTCCAGGGATCAAACTCAGGTCATCAGGCTTGGCGGCAATTGACTGTATCTGCTGAGCTATCTCACCAGCCCCTGAACTTCTTAGTAATCCCATCACAGTACCTTTTCAATCATCCCTACTCTTCCCAATTGCCTAAAAGACTTCTTAAAAGCAAGATATAACTGATAAAGGGAGAGAAAGTGTTGATGTCAAAAAGAATTTTTAAAACTATTTCATTACGGGGCTGGAGTGATGGCTCAGAGGTTAAGAACACTGGTTGTTCTTGCAGAAGACCCAAGTTCGAATCCAAGCACCCACATGGCAGCTAACAGCAGTCCGTAACTCCAGTTCCTCTTCTGACCTCTGCGGGCATTGCACGACACGGGTGCACTTACCTACGTGCGGACAATACACGCATACACATAAAATTAAAAAATAAATAAATAAATTTTTTTAAAAATTAAAAAAAACTATTTCATTACTTTGTAAACATTTGTATTAAAATATGTATCCACATTTCCTTGGGGACAAATAATTATATTAAATTGAACTTCTTAAATTCAAAACTTCCTGGGGCTGGAGAGATAGTTCAGCAGGTGCTGCTCTTCCAGTGGACCAGAACTCAGTTCACAGCACCTATGTCTGTGTGGCTTACAACTACTTGTAACTCCAGCTCTGGGGGATCTGACACCCTCTTCTGGATTCCAAGGGTATCTATATATACATGGCACACACACATGCACACACACATAAATACATACATACTTTTTTAAACAAACTCTTTAAATTCAAAACGTCTAGCTGTGTGGACTGGTGCACACGTTTAGTCCCAGCACTCAGGAGGCAGAGGTGGGTTGATCTCTGTGAGGTCAAGGCCAGCTTAATCTATGTAGAGAATTCCAGCCTTGTCTAATACCAACACTCAGGAGGCAGAGGCAGGCTGCTCTTGTGAGATCCAGGCTAGTTGGGACTACAAGGAGATCCTGTGTCAAAAAAGACCAAAAAAAAAATAAAAATAAAATAAAATAAACTTTCCAGTAACTCACTGTATTCTGTAGATTCTGGAAGATTCTGAATATGTGGTTCTATGGACACTAGCAGAAATCACACAGTCTCCAGTACCTATGATCATGACTTCTATGCCTCCTCCTATTATTGAAGTCAGTACATCCACAACCCTAAGGAAGTCACTAGCATCCTCCAAAGTTGCATCTACAAATCTGTGGGTTGCTGTATGCTCTCTGTTCGCTGAGCTATGCACACCTTGGTTTGGGATCCTCACTGCGGCAGGACATTGTATATCCACTTTCTTACCCCAAACACTTACTATATAAATTCCTATCACAGTAGGGCATATGAATTCAAAGCAATTGTGACAGCATACACAAGACCTGTTAAACTCTGTTAAGGTTCAGATAGCCCCGCCCCCTCACCAACAGGGCCTCACAGACCTTGCAAGCCCCTGAGAAAAGGGAACCCAGTTGATAAGCACCCCAGTCTTTGAAGTCAAGAGAAGCAGACTTTTCTCCACTGTTTGGCCAACACAGCAGGCTTCCCCTTTGATCTCTAAAGGGGGCAGGTTTTAACAGTCTTCCCCCCCACCTAACTTTTTAAAAAATATATCGTCCGACCTTCTGCACCCCCCAGAAGCCTCCCCTATAAAAGATCCCAGCTCACAACCCGGGCAGACATTTTCCCTGCCCAGAAGGGAATCTGTCCCCTGTGTTCCTTTGCTAAAAGACTTTATTCCACTAGAGTTTTATCTGTGTCCTGGTGCTTTCTACTGATCAACTGGATTCATTCATCCCCTACTTTACCTATCAAGCTCAAGCCAGACAAATGCCCAGATGTGAGATGTGAGTCAGACACTCCAGCCCGAACTGTTGGCAGCTGGTAGTTGCTGGAAGAAGGAAGAGAAAGCTTCCTTTTTTTTAAGAAATTTTTTATTTTTATTTTATGTGCAGAAATGTTTAGCCTGCATGCATATAAGTACACCAGGTATGTGCAGTGCCTGTGGGGGCCAGAAGAGGGCATTAGATTCTCTGGAACTGGAGTTACAGATGATTGTTAACCCTCATGTGGGTTCGGGAAATTGAACCTGGGTCCTCTGCAAGAGCACCCGGTACTCTTAATTGCTGAGCCATCTCTCTAGCCACCAGTTTTCTTTAAGGGTGTGATGCTGGGTGGGTTGTCCAGGCTCTAGAGGATGGACCTGGAATGCATTTGGGAGACAAAGTGGACTCAAAAGGGCTTAAAAAAAATAATAGACATGAAACCAGGTGGTGATAGTAAGGGGGTTCAAAAGGGGTCTGAACATGATCAAAATACATTGTATAAAACTCAAAAATTTCTTAAAATTCCTATTGCTAATATGGAATAATTGGGGGCCCTGTTTGGTTTAGGTGTATAAGTGTTAGGTGTTATGATATTTTTCTACAGATTCTTGGTGATTTTTTTTAAGTGCTGTTATCCTGGGAAGCAAGTGTCTTATAGAAAATCACTTTAGGTCTCAGCTTTGATGTAAATGAGCAGAGCAGTTTCTATAATCAAGGCAGGTTTTGTGTCGAACATGGTGGGTTTTCCTTTAAACTGTTTCTTTGAAGGGCTCATGTCAGGCTTCAGGCATTAAGTGAGGCTCTCAAAGAAGTTCTGAAGTGTAAACTTTGAGATACTACATGGCAGACTTTAAATCACTTGAAAATCTTTCCGTAAACAAAGTGTGTTGAGAAGAAAATACTATATTCCAGTGACCTCTTTAAGCACACTGAGAATTTTCTTTTCAAAAGTGGATTGCTTCAGATGAGCAAGGTTCCCAGTTAGTAAATTGGGTGTTATAACCTCTCCTAATCTTGGTCCATACTTCTAGCTCTCAGTTTCTATTTTTCAGTGACTGGTCTTAGTATCCTGGGTGCCTCACAGCCTGTACCACAGAGGGGAATTGTAAATGGGGCATTATAAAGGCGGGTGATCTTTAGGAAACTTGCACACAGACAGATGTGTGTGTGGGTGTCTGAAGGTGTGAATAATGATCACAGCAGGGTTGGAATGAGTGGCCCGGCCTCAACAGCCCTTGCAGACTCTACCTCAAACCCATTACTCATAGCATTTACTCCTCTGCATGTCTCATTAACAGCCTCCCCATCTGTCACCATCTTCCTAACTGTTGGCCCTTACCCATGAAAAGTGTCTCCAACTGATTCTCAGGGGGTGTAGAGCCATCATACCCTGTACAAAAAAGGAGAGGCAGTGAGCACTGAATGAGGAGTCGGGAGACCTGAGTTTTGCATTCAATACTCCAATTGACTCTATAACCAGCCAACCATGGGCCCCAGGACCCATGGAGACCCATTTAATGATGGGCAACGTGAGAATTGAGATTGTCGACCTCTGTCATTCTGGCACTCAGTGCCTAGCATCACACGAAGTGTCACTGTGCTTCATAGCCTGATGATGGTAAAGTCCAAGAGGCTCTGACTAGAGACTTGAGTTGCTCTTGGGACTGGAGAAGTTCCACTAAGGTTTCCTGTTGTGCCCACTTGGATCCTCAGACTTTCTCACATCACCTCTTACTGACAGCCTGGTAAGACAGCCTTGTTCATTCCTGGTATAGCATTTGGAGAAGGAACCTTTCTTGAGGCCCTGATATGGGTGACTGCTTCTTAGAGGAGATGTCAACATTGCTTGCTGCTCTCTGAGTTGATTAACCAGGTACAGCCATCTATGCACACTCTCTCTGCTCCGCACCATCTTCCCCAAGTGTTCGGCTCTGCCCCTCAGCATCCTGACAGAAGTAGATAGAACACACAGAAGCTGTTGAGAGAAAAGACTTCATGGATCTTCAACCATATCTGTGTTCTGTGAGGAAAAAGAAATCACTCAGCAACC